CGTTGGTTGATAAAGTAAAACGTAAGCCAAAAAAGAAAGAGCAGCTCACTAGCTGAAAACCACCAAGAACACAGCTCACTAGCTGAAACCACAACAACCACTCAGCTCACAAGCTGTAACCACACTACTGGCACTCTGGCCCAGAGCTCACCTTTCCTTGGGCTTAAATACTTTTAATTACTGATGTGAGTCAGCTGTGTAACAGGGAAAGGTGGCACCTCAGGCAGAAGGTGGTGGGACACGCCCACACAGGCACCTTCAGGAGGAGGCCCTGCTAGGGCCGTAACAGTATCCAACCTTGTTTAGAGACACACCTTCTAAAACAACTTTGATAGAGCATGATATTGATGTGGGTGATGCAAAACCAATCCGGCAGAGGTCCTACAGGGTCTCTGAGGAAAAGAGGAAAATAATTGATAAGGAAGTTCATTACATGTTGGACAACAACATTGCAGTGCCGTCGTCATCAAGCTGGGCTTCCCCTTGTTTGTTGGTCATAAAAGCTTTACTGTGCTCAGAACTTGTGCTCTTAGTACCTCGTCTGGATCAGCCCTTCAAGCTGTATGTGGATGCAAGCCACATTGGTGCAAGTGCTGTTCTAGTCCAAGCTGGCAAGCAAGGTACTGAACATCCAGTTAGTTTCTATTCCAAGAAGTTCAACTCCCATCAGCTGAATTATTCAGTCATTGAAAAGGAAGCTTTGGAATTAATTTTGGTCTTGTGGCATTTCAGAGTATATTTGGATTCTGCTCGGACAATAGCTAGGTTTCATTTGACGTAGACGTGACGTCGACGTAAAGCGCGAAATTTGACTGGCGGTCGGAAGTGAAAAAGATAAGCGCAAAATCACAGACAGACAGTACGCAAAATGCCTATGTCCTGTTGTGTTTACGGATGCTCCAGTAGGTCGACCAGAGAAACTGATAAACGGTATTTTAGGGTACCAAAAATAGCCCAACGAAGAGGAGAAAAATGGAAAATTCTAACCGAAAAACGTAGGAAAAAATGGATTTTAAATTTACGTTTACAGTCGGGAGGAGCAGAGTCTGCCAATGCCCGTGTCTGCAGCGACCACTTCGTCAGAGGTAATGTTATGTTTGCAAACGAACTTATTAGCATTAGGTTGTCGTTAAATTCTCGTTTACTTAGTGCTTTTAAGTTAGTAGTCTAATATTGACTTGATTGGGACTATAGGCTGCCCAAGTGCTTTGGATGACGAAGAGTCGGAGGACTGGGCTCCGACGGTCAATCTCGGCTACGAACGAAAACCCAGATCGGAATCAGTTCTCAAACGAGAGAAAAGAATGAAGCTTAAGGCAGAACAGCATCGATGTGCAGAGGCGATTTTGGATATGCAACAGACGGCTGAGAGCCCGGATTTGAGCCTAGTGACAGTGGAGAACCCCGAACTGCAGCTTCCAGCTGAGAATCCACAACCAGAAGACTTCAGTGTGAATGAGACATTCACTTATCCAGGTAAGATATTGTGCTGAGATGTAAAACAAACAAGAATCATGTCAAAGAGAAAAAGATGCCATTATCTGTAATGATTATGGTCCAAGTTACATATTACATGTTTGTGATTGTTTAATCACAGAGTAAATCCACACCATTTTATTCAGAAAAAAAGAAAAAGTGGCACTTATTACCGTCAGGCACACACCACAGGTTTTTGTACACTGCTATGGTTCTTATATTGCCAGATTCCAGACAGTCTCCTTTCACAGATAAGTAAAGATATCCGTAATGTAAGGTTTCTGTGGTGAGAAACATATAAATATATTTTTTGTATATACCCTCTATCTGAAAAATGCATCTGAGTGTCATGAGGGATCTAAGGCAATCACACAAATTCTTAGCTGATGAATTCTTAGCTAAAAGAAAACACTCTCTCCCCACTACTACTGAAGTACACCTGCAAAATGCAGTGCCCTGTGTGTGTGTGTGTGTGTGTGTGTGTGTGTGTGTGTGTGTGTGTGTGTGTGTGTTCTCATTGCAATAACATCGTACTTAATTAGGCTACTAACCCTGCCATACAATTGCAATGAGCTGCAATCACTTCTCCATCCTCCTTTGCAATTACCCAAGTCTTCAGAGGTGTCTCGTTAGACCTCTGAGAATGGTTTACCTTGAAGCAAACAACTGTCACTCTAACGAAGTCCTAAGGATGTGGCATGTTTGTTGACGTTAAAGCCGCTACCGCTAACTGTTAGCGTGTTTAAGATAAAGCAATATAAGAACAAACACTCACCCTTGCAAACACCAAACTGTATCCATCACGGAGACGTTTTGTTCCAAGGTTGTGGACCCACCCGCTGACAAAAAAATTGTACGCCTCCAGACTCTTGAAAGCTTTCATTTGCTGCCTAGTGTAGTTAAGAAGTCTGGAGGACCAAGTAGTTGGTGATATCCACAGCCTCGATAGTAGGCAAATCCTTTACTTCTGTGGTGTATTCGGACATTTTCAAAGAATACGGATCACGTCCGATATATTTTTTAACTATCTGTTTATATCTCTCCCGAGAAACGGGGTCTAAAGTTGCACAATAGCTGCTCTCCTGACTCTCCACAGTGTCCTCCATGTTTACTTCCGCCCTCCACTCAAAAATCGCGCTGCCTCCGCACGTCATCAGAACCACGTGACCGCAACCCAACTATTGAGGTATTTTCTGACCATAACCCTCTCACCTTCTTGAACTCATTGCAGAACCCAAATCAGAGGCTCATGCGGTGGGCTCTCTTTTTGAAGCCTTACAATTTGGATATCCAGCACATTAAGGGCAAAGATAATGTCTTGGCAGATGCTTTGCCCCTTTGTAACCAGCAGCTTCACGCCTCATATGCTTTGAAGTATGTCCTCTCCAGTATCGTTTTCCTTCCTCTTAAATTGCTCCTAGGTACCAAGGTTGCTGAGGTTGGAGTTGAGCTGAAGATGACTTTTGAGCATACAAAAGGTGTTAAAAGTGAGGTTGCATGTGTGTGTATATATATGTTATGGATTTAATATATGCATGTTCTTCTAGTTGCAAATTCATAATGTAAATGTGTTTGCCAATTCAGGGTGAGACCCTGTTCTATGAGGGGGAAGTGTGACGGCCAGTGGGCTGGCCTTGTGTTTTGCTTTTTCTTTTACCTGTTTCTTGCAGGTAGGTGGAGCTGACCCAATTATTGATGCAGCACACCTGAGAGGCCAGTCCCAGTGTATATAAAGACACCTTGACTGAACCAGTGGTGGCTGGCTTTGACGCTCTCTCTGGCACTTGTCATGTTCATTAGGAAGTTTCAGTTATGGCTGTTATATCCTTTAAATTGTGTTTAAGTTGCTTTACCTTATTTTCATTAAATATGTCTCACAGTCTTTAAAAGCCTGTGTGTGGTCTCCCATTTGTTTGTCACTTCCTATGAGCCGGGTTGTGACATAAGCTGTAACTGAACAATTCATGCACATGGAGACAGTTTATCTTATTAATAGGAAGATTTCTTTTTCATGTAACTTCATCTTCTGCTGCTCAAGATAATAGGAGGTTTTGCTGGCAATACAAAATTAAAGACAGAGCATTTTAGGTGTAAATTCAGAAGGCTCATATCACTACTTATAATTCAGTTCAGTTCACAGAAAGAAAACATATCTTGAAGGAAGACGTGATGAACAACATGGATGTATTAACATACATATTGCTCTTGTGGCATTATTTTCTGTATGAGGATTAATGCTATGAAAATACTTTATAATCAGTATTTGTCATCATTTTATAATAAGCATCTGTAAAAAGAGGGAAAACCCCAATAATTAGGCAATTCCCTGTGAGCAAGCATTTGGCAACAGTGGGGAGGAAGAACTTCCTTTTGAGAGGAAACCTCCAGCTGAACCCAACTCAGAAATGGGCAGCCATCTACCGTGGCCAGATCGAGGGTGAGGAGAAAGAAAATAATGAAAAGTGGAGCAGAGAGAGAGAGGCCAAAACAGAAACTACATGGGAAGGAAGACAAAACTTCAAGATATGCAGTAGTGGCATGTAAATGAATCAGAAGTTAAAAAAAAAACATGTTCCCATGTGAACATTAAAGTAATGATCTAATTAAAAACAATTGCAATTAGTGTTATTACTGTTATTGCTACAGCAAAAGGCTTCAGTTTGATGAAGCATGCATAAAAACCTTTCACTTTTCACTCGGCTGTAGAAAACATAATAAATACAGCTTTTTACACAATAATGGGAGGCTGCGTTATACATAACTGAACTGTGTAATACTAAAACTAAACAAATGTGTGTTCACTCTGACTCTGTGTTTTGGTTGAAAAAATAAACACACATTTGAACAGCCACCATCAGACAGCTTCTGTTATTATGTCCTATCATATCAACACATAATAAAACACAAATACTAACGCATTCTAACCAGTCACACTGACAAAAAACCCAAAAACATTTCTACACTTATCTGCTTATCCATAACACTCTGCATTATAACATAATTTTAAGTATCTTCCGAGATGTAGGTCCAAACAGCAGATATGTGTTGGGTACATCTGTTCAACTGCTCATTAACACAGATATCTGATCAGATGGCAGCAACTCAATGCATTTAGGCATATCACAAAGCTCAAAGCACCTCAAAATAATTTCTTGACCATGATAATGACTTTACTGTACTTAAATGACCTCTACAGTCACCAGTCTCACTCCCCTTTTGGGGTGTGGTGGAAGAGCATCATGGATCAGTAAAAACTGTGTGGCGCTATCATGACAATATGGAAGCAAAATCGCTAATGAATGTTTTTAACACCTTGTTGAATCTTTGCTGCTAAGAATTAAAGGGGGTCCAACCGGGTACTAGCACTGTGTACTTATTAAAGTGGCATGTGAGCATAAAGTTATCTCGTTTTGTATAATCAAAGTTTAATAAATAAATAAATAAATAAATAAATAATCTGATGTGGTCAGAGAACTTCCTTGTTGCTGAAGTACATTTGGTCAGAAAGAAAGCAGGTTACTAACCTTGTGGGTCAAGGGCTTCCCATCACCAAGAGCCTTTCCAGTCAGGGCATCAAAGAGAAGGATAACTTGTGAGAGAAAAAGAGAAAGAGGACACAGTAAAAGCACAGTCCGTATGATTTTGAAATTTTATAGTAAGCATGGAGTTTTCCCCTCACCTTTTTCATCACTCTTGTCCCGAATGGCTATGGTGTCGTTACTAAGTGAGACACTCTGGGCATTTAGAATATCTGCTCTCATACCCGGGAACTTTGGGGACGATATCAATCGTCCTTCATAGGAGAACGTATACAACCCTGCTCCATCCACTAGTAGAAAATGTCTGGGAGGGGGAGACAAGAGAGGCCAAGTTACTGTATATGCTGTATATTACACATTATACGACTGAGGTAACATGGTGAGGAATAAAGGGGAGCAAACAGGAAAATTAAATACATAACAGACGGTAAGAGTTAATCAACTGACACAAGAAGGTAATTTAAACATTTACTGAACAGCAACACACTGTTAACTTACTCAGTATGACTCATCAATCTAAACTGCGATTACAAAATGGCCAGTAATCTATTTAGCTCCATGCTGAGTGTCAGGGACACTGCACTGGAGTATTGCACAAGAGCTACTCCATATTAATCTAATTTCCCCCAGTGGTTTCACTCTCAGCCTTATTGTATGACAGGGCTGGCTGAGCTAGAGCACAACCCGACTGTGTGTGTACGTGTGCGTGCGTACATGTGCCCGTGTGTGTGTGTGTGTGTGTGTGTGTGTGTGTGTGTGTGTTTGTGCGCTTGGTTGGCTGCTGCTTGATGAGTGGCCAGTGCAGAGTAATGAAGCATTAGAGAAGCTGATAGATGATCCAACAGCCTGTTCTCTCTCCTGCTGCTTTGCTCCTGGAATAAAAAGACTCACTTCTCTGCTTGTAGGATGAGGCTGACTGTTCCCTCCTTTAGGTCAAAGATGAGAGGAGTATTCCAGTTTCTTGAGCTGGCAAAAATAAACAGCACAGTCGCAGACATTAAATAACTGTGCTACATCTGGCACAACTGCAGAGATGAGGAAAAAAAAAAGAAGCAAAAATATGACCCAGAGCAAAAGGGTAAAAAGCAATAAAAGACACAATATTTAGACAATATCAATGAATGGAGAGGAGATAAATCTGCAGAGTGAGCATAAAGAGTGCAGGCCTGAAAACAATCATTATAGGATGAAGTCTGCAGAACATGTTCCCTTGTTCCTAATCCTATTATTTTTCCATGAAGTGAAACAAAAAAAAAACAACATCTCCATATTTTACAAAACACACAGATCATGAAGTAACAATAGCCTGAAATGAATCAGCAACTTGGTAAGATTTGGTTGTTTTTCCCTCCCATCAGAACCATTTTTTTCTGTGTGGTTATGTTTTATTTTTGTAGGTTTTTCTAGCTACACGGCATGAGATTTCAGTATATTCTGGTTGAATCAAAAGACTTTTCTCATGCTTTGCTCAGTAAAAGAGGAGCATGTTTTGTACAACAACAAAATATACTGAAAGCACATGATGAGAAACTATGACTTTGAATAGAGGATGAGAAGATAAAAAAAAAAAAAAGACAAAAAAGAGCACTACTCACTTGTAGACATAGCACTGGAGGGAAGTCGCAACCACTAGGTGACCGTGTGCCAGAGATGCTTTGATGACTCGATCTCTAAACTCCAATAAGTCCACTGCATCGTTCAGCACATTCCTCACCTGTGGAAAAGAGAGGAAAGGAGAGGAGAGAGGGGGACTTAAAAGTGGAAAAAAAAGTGTAGGGATGACTTGACTTTGCAGAAAGTATGACACAGGCACAAACTTTATATTACTGAGCAAACAATTCTCATTTAAAATGCAAAAAAAAAAGAAACCCCAACAAAAAGGAAAGACGCTAGCTTCACTAGCAGAGGGCTGAACACAGTCACGTACACATTGGAGTGTAGTTATTCGTAATATACACAGGAAACTATATACAGTAAATCCAAGTATACGTAGGTCAGCTGTGGACACAGGGAAAGCAGTTCTTACTGTTTTAAGTGTGTGCGTGCAGCGGTCGGTACTAATTTTTTCACCTGCGTAGATAAATACTTCCCTCCAGCTCTCTGTGTGAATGAATGAAGGAGCCTTTTCCAGCACCAGGTGAAAGGTGGGGTTATTTTTACAGCTTTACAAATCTTCCTCCTCTGCTCCCTCCAGCAATCCAAATTTACATGCAACACAACCAGGAATAAAAAACATTTGACCGCAAGGTGGTAAATTTAGCTGGCTGATTCACAAACCACTGGCAGATGTGCAGTTTTAAAACGGACTTCGAGGAGGAGAGAGGGAGGAGGGAGACAGAGAAGCGCCTGCGAGGCTGAAAATAAATGGCTGATGACCCAACTTTGTTTGGTTTACACAAACTGCACTTGGTAGAGTTGTCTATGGGTGCACATGTGTGTTGGCACACGTGTGTAACCCTGCTTCTGTAGGTGTGTGTGCGTCCCTGCCTGAAAATAAACGAGTGTGTGTGTGTGTACACTTGGGTGTGTTAACCGCATGTAAACGCTACCTTGTGGTGAGTGCAAGTTTAAAGAGTAGAGAATGGTGAAGCGAGGGAGGCGGCGAGACAGGCTGGTCATTGTCATTGCAGGGCTGCACACTGGCACATTGGGAGGGTCCTCCTATAATATATGGCCACAGCTAGCCAAGGCCTGGGAGGCATTTGCTTCGCTGTATAGCATATTTACTCGCCTCTGTATAGTTTGCTGATAGCATTGCACTATTTTTCAATTCTCTTGCTACACCAACATAACGGAGTTGGCTCTGTTAAGTGTTTGAGTAAATATCCATACTCCTTTTCCCTAACAGGCAAGCTTATTTTCAGTGATTTTGGTTTAAACACAGACAGCTCTGAAGAGCAGAAAAGCAACTTTTATTATAGACCAGAAACAAAATGATTTTTACTATGATTCTTTTGGACACGTATATGATTACACCATTTATTTATGCACAAGTTACTGAAACATATTGGTCTTTTGGTTTACTTTAGATTCCGTCAGTCTTTTATCACCTGCTTTGTTAAATTAGAAAGGAAAACTAATTTGATGCAAACACAAACTCATTTGTATGAGGTAATCTTTCTACCTGCATGGTTCTCCTCTTTGTAAGAGTGATCACAAAATTCTTCCACTCCCAGTGCTGCTCCACCACATGGGCAAAGATGACATGTCCGTTGCCGCAGGCCCCGGCCAGCTGGGTGCCATCCGCAGACCAGGCCAAGCTGAACACACTTCCTGTGTTGGGCTTCTCCAACGCATAGGACCACTGGAGAGGGGCGAGATGAAGAATGAAATGGTAAATTGTTGGTGATAGTAATAAACAATGTTAAACAATTACCTGTGGGGCAGTTTAGGAACTACTGACAATGTGAAGTTTAGCGAGCAGAAGCAGTAAGTCAACACACATGTGAGTGCTTATATGTGTGTATGTGCACATAATATAAACTCTGCCAGAAAGACATAGGCCCAGTCAGTCATTGAGCAGTGATGAACCGTGAGACACAGACAGAGAACTTAGCTCTGCACCGCTCATAAACATACACTGCTATTTTCATCGACTACACTGATGGGGGGCTGGGAGAAGAGGGAGGGTTTATGGGTGTCTCTGAACTAAAGCTAATTAACAAAATCTCTTCCTTCTTTATATGAGAATAGGTTCAGTAAAGTCAGGGCTGAGAAGGATGGGGAAAAGAGGAGCAAAGAAAGAAATAATGACACTTTTTCTTGTCTGCTGTGCTGCATCAGACAGTCTGTCTGATAGTAAAGAATGGCAAAAGACACAACTGTGAGATAAGGAACTCCTTACTATCCAAGTCAAGGCACCCCTCATACTGCCCACCTCCCCTGTTTTTCTACTCTGGCATAGAACATAAGAGCAAAGGCTAAGGCCATTATGTTTTGATTCAGCAAGATTCTGTTGAGACAATGAATAAACTAACAGACAAAAAAAATCCAGTTTGTTATTTTCCAGAATGATCTCTCTGAAGGCCATGGAGTAGTAGGTAAAGGCACAATGAATATGTTTTGTGACATCGAAATTGTTGCTATTATCCATCATTTACAATAACTAGAGCCAATTTTCCTCACACAATAAGCCCTTCTGCCACTAGAGTCCCCCTTCCTCATCCTCCACAGCTGTGCCTGACCTCCTCTCTTGCCTTGAGCGCAAGTAGCTGGCTGACCTGAGTTTCTTAGCTGCAGTCTTCCACACAAACGCATGCATTCACACTGTAACCTGCTTATTAGGGAAGAAAAGTGCTAATGTTAACCTAGCCCTGCCTGCTTGCCTGCAATGGAGAGACAGGTGTGGTGCAGTGGGCCAAGTGCTGCGGTGAACCTTGGAGCAAAGGCCTCAGTGTGTTCACTGCCTAACACACACGCAGCTGCGGGATGTGAGGTGTATCGTTATTTCCTCTTCGTTGCCTCTGACAGGAGTAGAGGTAAAGTCAGAAAGCTACAGGTTTCTGGGCAGCTGCTTTGATCTCTCTCCTTCTCCTGGTCCCGTCTGCCTCATACACCCACCACTCAGATGGTTTTGGTCAGCACCCTCCCAGCAGTTAATGTCATATCAGGACCCAAAATAGCTTTAGGAAAAAGGACCTTTCCCATGTGGACAAAGGCTAGTTTGTTAAAGTGAGATTAATTTATATTTATCTTTTTCTCCCCTCCCTTCTTCCTTTAATTTCAGCAGCTTCAACTTCCTTTATGCATTACATTAATTACATTTTCTTTAAATCAACATACTTTTTACATATAGATTTTTTTTGTTTTCCTCTCTTCCAAAAGAGTGAAAGTGTTCTTGCTTGAGCTCCAAAGCAGAGCAGCTTGGGCCAGCATTTACAATAACAACAGAACTCATTTATTCTTCTGCTAACATCTTGAGATGACCCACTCTGTGTTAAAGCACACCAGGGGTAAACGAGGGTGGTGGGGGGGGGGGGAGAATGGAAGACAGAGCGATGGATAGATGGAGGGTCAGAGATCAAGCCGAATGTATACAACAGATTGTAATGAAGCAGGACATGTGATATCGGCCTGAGGAGCACTGCTGGATCCATGCTTACCTAATGCTTTTAACACATTGAGCCATTTGACTCTTTCTGGAGCCAGTGAGCGCGCGCGTGCGTGCGCGTGCGTGCGTGTGTGTGTGGAAAGAGGGAGTTGCTTTTATATGTGTGCAATACACGGCATGTGTGCACCTAAGTTTGAGTTTGCGTGTGAGTAAAAGTGCAAAGGAAATGAAAAAAAGTTTAAACAAAATGAATATACGAATGCAGGAAATAAGACAACAGAAATTTAGTGTGAGTTCACATGTTGCTCTAATGTGTACATGTGTGTAAAAGAGGTGAAAATCCTCTGGTTTGTCAAGAGTTGTCAGCCAGTGTCTGACTATGGGACACAAGGGGGGACTCCTATTGCTCTCCTGAGATGAGCGGACTGTGCCTGGAGGACCAGGGATACAAAAATCTTTTCCAGAGCAGCACTCAGAGGAAAGCTCACTCTCTCACTCCATCTTTATCTCCTTCATCTACCTTTCTTTCATTTATTCCCTCTCTCCTTATTGGAAAAGAGTTGAATAATTCTGACACTTGGCTGCTTAACAAGAAACTGGTTAGAAGAACAGAAAGTCCTGCATTAAAAATGACCATACGAGAATAATAAAACCAGCTGACTTAAAGGCAAGGCAGGAGGTTATCTAGAAGAACAACTCTCCTTCTGCATCCTGTGCTGTTGTTTGTATACAGCAAAAGGAAGAAAGACAGGCACAGTCTGATTGATGACTTAGCTTGGCTGCAGTAGGTTTAACCTCATACTCAATTATATTGTCTCAGAGTGTCACAGAATCACAGAAATTTAGAGTCGATAGATATTTGACTTCTAAACGTTCAACCCCCCCCCTTTTCTTTTTCTTTTTTTTTTAAATACACTGCAAAGTCAGACTGGTGTGCTCCGATTTTAAAGAGGATGTGAGACTGGTAATAAACAGAGGAGAGCAGATCACTGACTACTACAAGAACAGTAGAGATGGGGGAGCCCAATTAAGGGGGAGCGCAGCAAGGGAAGGTGAATCAGTCTGTGGCAATACATTTGGCAAATGGTTTTACTGCAGCCCAGAGGGGTGGAACTCTGCTGGATACTTGAGAATTCTACTTGACAAGGTTGCAAGGAGATTTAAGATTAGTGCAGAGAGATGTTAAACAGCATCAAGAGAGAACACGCAGACAAGGACATGGTCTGTATAGAGGCCAAAATAAAGATTTGGCTGTGGGATGTGGAAGGTGAGTTTCGGCCGTCATCTAGCCAGAGTCCACTCTGGTCATTGAACACCGTATATCCATAATGGGCAGCTTTGTGGTCAGAGGGAAGGTGACAGACATGACGTTTAGTTCTCAGCTGAGGTTTGGGGGAGAGAGGGTGAGACCCCTGAAAGTCACAATGAGCTTATACAAAAAAAAAAAAAAAAAAAAAAGGAAAAAAAAAAGATGAAACACTTTACACATAGCAGCAATGCTATGTATGCAAGTCTAGGTGTGTACTCCAATGCAGATGAAAACACACTCACACAAAGTAAAGTTAAGCCGTTAAAAACTGCTGTGTACCAACGTGAGAAGTTTTGTTTTGTATTCATTGTAAACAGTTTGTGTTTGTCTTCTTTTTTTCTTTGTAAACTATATCCACAAATACTCAATAAAAATATTTTGAATTAAAAGAAAAACTGCTGTGTATTTATGAAACAGATGCAGGAAAATGGAAAATAAAGTGCAGCAACTTATTTAAACATGTGGAATCATGAATTGATATACAGTCTATAAAGCAAAAACAGAGTTTCTGCAATTCTAATGCGCTTCGAAGTCAGTATTTGGTGTGACCAACTTTTTTTTTTTAAAAACAACCTGAACTCTCTTAAGCAAGCTTTCCTGTAATCTTTTTAATCAGCCTTCAAGAATACTTGAAGGACATTCTTTGGATGTTAGTTATCTTTGGTTCCATTCTCTAGTTAGATGCTTTCACACTGCTTCAACTTTTGAGGACTCGCAGAGGTCAGTCCATGACTGATTCCAGTTTGTTCACCTGTGTGTTTGTCTATACAGTTATGCTTTTACTGCATTTACAGTGTGTTTGGGATCACTGTCACGCTGAAAAATGAAGCTATTGCTAATCAGTTGCTTTCCAGGTAGTATTGCACGATGGATCGAAATCTGATGCTGAAATGCAGTTCCAAACCATGAGAGAGCCTACACAACATTTTACAGATGACTGTAGACACTCACTGTTGTACCTCCGCTGTAAATACTGACAATAATTTGAACAAAAAGTTTCACATTTGGATTTGTCACTCCATGAGACCTGTTGCCACTGATTTTAAGCCCAGGTCTTGTGTAATTTGGCATACCTCAGCCTATTCTGCTGGTTTCCCTTCCTTGAAAATGGCTTCTTGACAGCCACCTTCCCCTGAAGCTCTGGCAAACTGAAGGGCCAGATACATCTCACAGGAAAATAAATACACACCCCCTTTACGACATCTACCAACACTTTACAACAACAACAGACTAACAAAGCAGGATTAATTTATGGATCACAGCATATTACATTATAACCTAAAATGATCAAGATTATAATAAAAACTTAAAGATCATGACAAATACTTAAATATGGCATGATGTAACTGAGTAAAATATTGGCCAGGACTTGGCTCCAACACTTAGTATGTACTAACCTTTACCATATTTAGCTGGCTGGTGTTACTACTTGGGGCTATTTTTATTTAAGCGATGATGCGCAGACCCTAGCTTGCAGCATGCAACCACCTGTAAGTGCACACAAGACTGCACACACTCTTTTGATGCACGGCCTCTTCGAGGAGCGTGCGCTTGCTCTCCTCTCTTCCTCCTCACGTTCGGCATTTCTTGACATATGTTTACCATTAAGACTGGCAGGTGTTGTGGGCCTGCCCCTTCTCTCTATTGTTGCCCTGTAGCTGCAGCCGGCACGGGGACGACTGCAAAAAGGTTATTTTAAGAGAAAATTAGATTCAAGGCAGACTCAAACTTGTTTCTAAAGGCACAAGTTTGGGTAATAATGTTGGGCCTTCTAAAAGTCAGGACATTCCTGCCTTGGAGCAAACGTTCTGTTAAAGTAACCATTTTGCATATGCCTTTTCTATATGTCTTTCTTTCTAAATAGGCATAACTAACTCTGTCCTGTTACTTTTTTGAAGCAGTTTCTTGCCTTTAAAAAACCCCCACAAAAAACCATCCTCCCACA